ACCTTTTTTATAGCCGAGTAGTATTCCTATGTGTACACGTACCCCTTTTTTTCTTTTTCCATCCATGGTGGATGGATGTGTAGGTTGTTTGCATTCCTTAGCTACTGGGAACAGGACTGCAGTAAAATTAGGGGCACAGATCTCTCTTCCACAGACTTAACTTCCTTTCCCTTCGATGTACACCAGGTAGTGGGATTGCTGGACTGGATGGTGGCTGTAGTTTCTGTTTATTGAGCAACTTCCTTGCTGCTTTGCTAGATCTTCATTCCCACCCACAGAGTGCCAAGTGTTCCCTCCCCTCCACAGACATCCTCACTTGTTATCTTTCATCTCTTGGTATCCCATTGTGGTTTTGCTTTGTATCTCTCTGAGTTTAGTGATCAGCACTTTTGTCCAGTATTTCACAGTATCTGTAGTCCCCCTGTGCTGTGGAATAGAACCAGTGAGATGTCTTCCTTTAAGAATGTCAATTTCTATCTATGGCCATTTTTAATCTGACTTACTTATTGTTGTTTTTTGCTTTTGCTGTTAGTTGTGTTTTATATTGACTTTACTAACTGCTATGCCAGATGTTGGCTGGCACATATTGTTCCCTTTGGTGTGCAGAAGCTCTTTAATTTGTGAAATCCCATTTGTCCGCTAGTTGGCTTGGTATGCTGTGCTCTTGGGATCTGATCTAAGAAATCCTTGCCCGTAGCACTGTCCGGAAGCAGTTCCCCTGTGTTTTCTTCTAATTGTTTCAAAGGCTCAGGTCTTAGATTTCAGTCTTTCTTCTGTTTTGATTTCTTTTTTAATACCAATATGAATCACCCACAGCATTGATGAGTATGTTGTGTGCTCGTTATGACCAGGTTTTCTTCCATGTTCTTTTCATTTAATCAATTTGTTCTTCCCAAAAGTGATAGAGTTAGGTTCTGTGGTTAAGCACTGTCTTGCAGTTGAGGATCCAGAGGCAGCGTTCCACAAATGATGAGTCCGTTTGGTTTGTAGCACTTCGTAAGTCTAGTGCTTCTAGACTGCCTAGATAACCTGATGTGAAGTCCCCAGCTCCTATTGTTGTGGGGTCTCTACCTCCCTTTAGAACCAATATTGTTTATTCCATGCTTAGGTGGTGTTGTTTTCAGGTGCATGTATGTATTTCAGTTGTTAGATGCTCTTTCTGACAGATTCTTTTATCCTGATGTAATGTGTGTCTGAAATGGGCTTCTTCCAGGCAGTATCTTGAGTGTTGGTCTTTATCCATTCAGCCAGTCGGTATCCTTTAGTGGAGAATTTAACCCATTTATATCCTAGGTTCTTATTAACAGATACCAACTTATGTCTACCTGGGTACTTTTTTAGGTACAAGTATTTTCAGTCATCTTGAGTATGAGCTAGGAATGGAGTAGCTGAGTCCGACAGTAACTCTTCATATCTCCATTTGGGGACAACTGCTTGAACACTACAGTGGCTGCACCATTTCACACTCTCACCATCAATGGGTGAGGTCTGTTTGTCCATATCCTTTATAACTCTGGTTCCTCCCCATTGTTTAAACTCCTGCCACTCAAGTAGGGGAGAGTTGGTTCACACTGTGGCTTCCATTTGCTTTTCCCTGGGTCCAGATGATGTTGAGCAACTTTTTCTGGGCTTATCTTAGAAGAGATGCACATTTGAATATTTGACTCCTGGTTGGTTGAGTTGTTCATTTTCCTATTATTCAGTTGTAAGTGTTCCTTATATTTTGTGGACAGAGGATCTTGTTAGATACATGATTTTAAAATATTTTTTCTGAATCTGTGTGATGTTTTTCACATTGAAAATGTGTTTTGGCCAATGCTGCAGCTTAAGGCTAATCTCCATCTGCTGCGTCGGCACCCCGGGTTCTAGTCCCGTCGGGGTGCCGGATTCTGTCCCGGTTGCCCCTCTTCCAGTCCAGTTCTCTGCTGTGGCCCGGGAGTGCAGTGGAGGATGGCCAAAGTGCTTGGGTCCTGCACCTACATGGGAGACCAGGAGAAGCACCTGGCTCCTGGCTTCAGATCAGCACGTTACGCTGGCCGCAGCGGCCATTGGAGGGTGAACCAATGGTAAAGGAAGACCTTTCTCTCTGTCTCTCTCACTCTCACTGTCCAGTCTGCATGTCAGAAAAAAAAGAAAATGTGTTTTTTGAATCACAAATGTTTGAAATTTGGAGAAATTACCTTATATCTTTTTATTATCTATCATAGTTGTGATGCACTCATAATCTGCGAGTCACTCCAAGTTAGAAACATTTTGTAAATTGTCTTCCATGATTTATATTTTGACTCAACATTTATGTTTTTGATGCTTTATTTTAGGTTTCATTTTAGAATTCATGAGGTGCAAAACTAAATGAGAGGTGTGGAGGCTCATTTTCTGTCATGGTCATTGGATGTTTAGAGCATCATTTGCTGTGTTTGTCGTCTGCCCAGGATGTTCCCACCACCAGGGAAATACAGAAGACTTTCCAGGTCCAGATGTCTGTCTGCCTGTCCTGCTATGTGAACTTGAGGCTAGCACACTGGGGAGGCAGCCTGGGCAGAGCGCTTTCTGGTGCACACATGTCTGTTGGGCCTACTTAAGTTTACCTGTAGGCAGGGCATCTGGGTGCAGCTTCATTTTCAAGGGAGTCCCAGGGTTTCTGGCTTCTCCTTGTGTTAAACCTGGCTCTGCTGCTGAGTAGACTGCAGAGAGCAGGGCCTCTAGCCTCAGTGGGGACCTCACATGCCCATGTCACTGAGTGGTCAGGACACAGTGAGAGCGTGCAAAGATAGAGGCCTGCAGGGGCTCAGCCCCTCAGCTGTTCATACTCACCTCTCCCCACAACAGCCCAGGGCTTGCATCTCTGGCCTCTGCCCGCTCTGTCCACTGTCCTGGGGCAGCCTGTCTCTCTAGGACCCTACAGTTCATCAGGGCATCAGGCTGCACCACTGGACATGGTGAGATGACCCTTAGCTCAGCCTCCTGGGGGTGGGCTCCAGCTATTAGACCCAGGACCTGGAACTAACATGACCATGAGCTCATGACCTTGAGATGGGGACATCGTCTGTCCTGAGTGGTGGACACCCCACTCTGTGCCCTCCCAGTGCTGGGGAGCACAGAATCCCTGGGGCCCTCCCTGCCAAGGCAGCCAAACGAGCTGCCTGGCACTCTGCAGGACAGGTGCACCCAGTGCCACCCACTCCCTCCAGTTGGCCTGACCTGGGTTCCAGGTTCCAGGTGTGCAGGGTGCACAGGCAGCAGGTGATCTGGGACATTATCCAGAGGGACAGTCATGGGCCAGTGCTGTCAGTGGGTGTGATCCAGGCCATTCCCAGGAACACACACAGGTCAGCATTCCAGTGCCCCAGCTTCCTCCTCCACAGGCATCCCTCAGCCCTAGTGGATCAGCTGAGAAGCCTGTTAAGTAAATCCCTGTGGCTATGATGTCTTGGAGAAAGTCCTACCCTTCCCACTCCTTCCTGGCCTGCTGTACTGCCCTCTTGTTTGCCCACAGGGTCATCGGGGCCTGACAGTCTGGGCTTACGGTGGGGAGGGAGTCCTCATGTGGGATCAGCACAGCCGTGACCTGGGTGGGGCCTCGCTCTCTGGGGGTTCCTCATCTGCAAATGGGAGTGACAGCAGTGCCTCCCCATGGCTGAGACGTGGTCACCCGTGTGCTTGGCCAGGGGCTGGGAAATCCCAGGAGCTCAGGAAAGAGCAGTTACTGTGCTTGGGGACATCCTCTGTGTCTCCATGTTCCCAGCCAAGACCCACCCATGTCACCTGCACACCAGGCAGTCTGGGGCACATGGGGTCCCAGACAAGGCCCCCCTGTCTCCTGAGCAGTGAGCAAATCCCTGCTCGGATCCTTCTGCCAGTGACCCATTGTTGAGTGCAGGGACAGAGACTGTGATGGCTTCTGTGTGTGTGTGTGGCCCCAGGACCCAAACTGTGCCTTCAGTGTAAGACCCTTTCCCTTTCTTGTGTACTCCTCATACTGGAAGCAGGGGCCCAATGTGTGCAGGGAGGTGCAGAGCATCGCATTCCCTGTGCCGGTGATGGCTGTGGCAGGGCTGCCTTCCCATCTCACAGATGAGGACACTGAGGCTGCAGGGAGAACACCCACTGCAGGTCAGATCTGTGACCTCAGAGTCCATGTCCCTGATGAGGAGGCACTGCCACAGCCGTGCAAGCGTCTCCCTGTTCTTTGCTTTCCTTGGCTGTCCCAGCACTTGGTGCTCTTTATCCAAGCGGGGAACCCTGGCTCTGCCCCTGGGGAGGTGCCCATGTCCTCTCCAGAGGCTCCAGGTCCCTGGCATTGGGGCCATGGTGCAGGGAGAGTGGGGTGGGGAGGGCACAGTATGGGGAGTTCGCATGGTGTGAATTGCACATTTCGCAGTGGGTAATCAATTAAATTTTATTTTGGTAAAGCGACAATAAGGTGGAGACAAGGAACACAATGGGGAGGATTAAAGAGAAATACAGGAACACCGGGGGGGAAAGGACAGGTGTGGCACTGGGGCTGCAGCAGAAGGGACTTGCGGAGCTGGGGCTGAGGCCGGGGCCAGTGCTGTGTCTGGTGCTTCTGCAGTTTCCTTGGCTGCAGCTGGGGACACAGCTGTCCCCCACTCATCTTTGGAGGGCCATGACTGCTCCAGTGGGGTTGTTGCTTGAAGGTCATGGCTCTGCTCTGCCCCCTGTCAGGTCAGGTTCCAGGCCCAGCCTTGAGCTTGCTTCCCATCTGGAACAGGCGAAGTCGTCGAGCCCCAGTGCCTCCACTGTGAGATGGGCATTTGCGGACCCCCTGGGCTCTATCTGGGCCTTTACCAAGATTAAGTGACTGAGGGGGCCCTCAGGTGGCTTGTGCGCCTGGGGGAATGCCCGATACATGAGCTTTGGAGTTGTGGGTGAGTTTGACCACTCCCCCACTACACACAGGTCATCAGTTTTAGTTGGCCTACGGTTGTCTGGGCTGCTTGAGATCCCCAGCCCGCTGTGCTGTGCCAGGTGCGAGGCTGCCCTGTCCTGGACCTGGGAGACAAGCAGAGAATGGCAGGTAAGAGGCAGTCCCTGGATCCCTCCACAGCCAGCAGCTCTGGGCCTCAGGCTGCCCCCGCCTCTTAACTCAGGCTCCCTCCTCCAAGGGTGAAGTGGACCATGTCCACCCACACCCACGGGCCTGTTGGCTCCAGGGGTCTCAGTGGTGTCCTGGTCAGCAGAGAGCTGCCCTGGCTGCCAGACTCACCTTGGCCTTTTTCTGCTTGAAGCTCCAGGAGCATCGGGGGTGAGGGCTGGCCCAGCGTCCCCACCACTGGCGAGGCGCCCACAGCAGGGTTTCTTGGGGCCTGGGCTTGGCATCGCGGGATACAACTCAGGAACATCTTCTGCGAGACTCTATCCAGGTGAGCTGGCTTAGACTCAACTCTGGAATGTTGGGGTGGTTGCTGGGGCACCCAGTTCTCTAGGTCATCACCAACAGTGAGGTCACTTCCTGTGGCTCCTAAGCTGAGCCCCCTCCTCACACAAGATATCCTCAGATTCTACTTGGGCACTGCCTATTCTACTTTTACCCCTACGCCATGTACCCACTGTCCACAGTTGCACCAATACAGGCAGCACCTGCCACAGGGCTGGCTTGGGCCCAGACAGTGCCACAGCTGGGCTTGGACCTGCTCTCTCTCTTTACAGTTTGAGCCTGCACAGTTCATCGTCCCTCTCTGGACATTCTCAGTCTCTCTTGTGGTTTCTGGGGATCATTCTAGCATGTGCTTGCAAGATGCCATCAGTTGTGTAGTGCCAAGGAACCCCTAGGCCTGGCGTCACCTGTACTGATGCACAAACACTCTAGATGTGAGATGGTTCCTAACCTGGGGTAGGGGTTTCTGGGAACTGGAGTAAAGCAGTTGGTATTGTCAGATTGAAGAGTGCCAGGCAGCTTGTGGGTAACACTTGCTGCATCCTGGGTCAAGTTGTCCATCACCAAGATCTGAGCAATGGTGGCAGCAGCACATCCAGGAGCACTTAGTCTTGAGGACACTTAGTCTACCTTATGGCACTCAGGTGTGGCTTGGGACCTGGCCATGCTGAGCTGCTGATGCAGAGAGCTGAGAGGTGCACGTTCACCTGCACTCCTGTTTGTCCAGCATCTCACGGGAATCAGGGCTGAGTCATTTGGGCAGTTTGATAAGTGTCTTTATCGTAGACAGATTGCCAGGACCGGAAGTTCAGCATCAGTTCAGAATTGTGGAGGAGAAAGGGACAGCCATTGCCAGGACGTCAGAATGCTGGTGTCAGGTTCTCCCCTGGGAGACAGAGGAGTGCAAAGGGAGAGGTCTGAGAACCCCTGAGCCTGGTCTCTGGGTTGCTGGGTCTGACCTTCCCTGCTTCACAGCATGGGGCCACTTTATTCAGGGTTAGAGACCTCTGCCTTCTATAGGTAGAAATATAGAGGGAATTTCATGCTTCTCAATGGATGACTGTGATGTTGGCTTTGCCTTCCCAGCACTTGAGGTACATCTGGGATTTTATTCTTCTTGCTCCCCCATCCCTAGAGGCTTTCATGTTTCACCAGTTTTGTGTACCTGTCCATAGGGGGAGGGGGAGACAGACACTTTTCTAAGCTGGAATCTGGACTTAAGCCATCCCCCAACTGACTCTTGTAACTTGACATCCCAAATAGGATAGAAAGCAGGCTTCCTGGGACCCTGATGCCCAGGGAAGTCGGGTGGTTCTAACAGGTGCTGCCTATCTCAGAGTGTCCAGAAAACCTAAACACCATCAGCTAAGGCTATTCCTCTTTATTGGTGGACACTGCCTACTGTGTTTCGTAAGCCATAACATGGAGAATCTACATGGGTAGAAAGATGTGGAGGCAGGCTGCTGGCTTGCTGCTGGCTCTCCTGTATATTCCAGGGACCCCAGTAGGATGAGGGACACTGACATGGGGGTGAGCGTGAAACCACAAAGCGCCCATCCATATGTCAGTGGCTAATTTAGAGCCTCGCCCATGTGCCTACAGCAAGCAGGAAGGACACTGGTGAGGAGTGGCCCAGGTGTCCCCAGATGGGAAGGGCTCAGCTCCCCTCAACAGAAGAAGTCCAATGGGTTACTGGCTCTGCATTCGGCCTCTGGATAAAATCCAAATCCGTGTGAAGCCCTTGGCTACCCTAGAGATAGGACAGTTGGAGAGATAGAGGATGGACACTGGAGTCACAAAATGAGCTGTTAAAGGAGTTTCAGTGAGAGCAGACAGAGAGAGGAGTGGAACCTCTGCCCTGTGGCCTGGTTTAAAAGTTCTGACTCCCACATTTCCTGAGCTCTGCATCCCACCTGGGAAGAGACTGGCTATGAAATCAGACGTTCCTGTCTAAGTCAGGATGGAGCAGCAGTGCATGTCTAAGGCATTGAAAGCTTCTCAGGGTGGGATTTGAAGCAGGAGGTTGGACACTGTGGGGTTACACACATCCCACATGGTGATGCTAAGGTTCCAGGCCTACCTCCACTCTGAGTCTAGCTTCTTGTGTATGTAGTCCTGGGGAGGCAGCACATGCTGTCTCAACTGGTTGGGTCCCTGCCACCCATGTGTCAGACCTCAGTTGAGTGCCCAGCCCCAGTAGTGGCATTTCAGGGGTGAATCAGCACATGTGTGATATCTGTGTCTATTTCCCAGAAATAATATTGTATAAAAGTCTGTAGAGGGAAATTGAGATGTGGGCTGCATATCATTGACAAAGTGGTAATGGATAGGTTTTGGTTTCCAAGATGGCTGGAGTCCCTAGGTTTTAGGCATAAGGTACAAATGACTTGGTGGAGACCCCAATTGTCTGGAAACCATCCAGTGAGACCCTACATATAATCAGTTAGCCTTTGCCAAGAAATTCATGAGAAGTGCTTAAAGGTCTGTTCCAAGTGCCTTAGCCTGTGTTAGAGCAGCCACAAAAAGGAATTAGGATTCAGCCCCTTTGAATTATCTATGGAAGGCCTTTCCCAATTGGGCTGGCCCCTTACCTGCCAAAGGTGGGAAATGAGAACAAGACAACACAATGAGGACTAGTGGCTGCTCTCATCTGATGTGCACCTCAGACCTAGTCTCACCACACAGGTAGGCCCCACCCCCTTGATTGTAAACTGAGCTCTCTTCAGGAGCAGTTTAACTCCTTCTGGGCAGGACCACACTTGGCGCTGTTTACCACTGATTGTTCTCCTAAACTTCTCCATGGGACTCCTTGCAGTCACCACAGCTGAGAGCAGGGAAGTTCCTTGTCTCTCCTGCACCCCGGATGGCTCCTTGGAGAGCCCCTGTCAGACCTCAGACTGCTGCTCACAGGGCGCCACGTTGAATGTCAGGTGAGGATGCCTCTAGACGCCTGCCCTGTTGCCCACAGCCTCTGGGGGCTACACCCGGTGTCTGAAGTCCTTTGTTGATGTTGAGTAGGAGAGTGTCTCTCCACCAGCCTGGGCCATGTCCAGGATCAACAAGAAGTAGTTACAAAAGCATGACTTCGTGCTTTCCCCCAGAGTGGGAGTGAAATGTCTCAGGGGGCACCTTGTAGCCAATGTGTAGGATTTGGGCGAAATGGGGAGGGGAGATGTGGAACAGGGGCAGGGATTGTAAACTGCCTAGAGCTTGTTTTCCTGATGTGCCCGGGAGCAGAATTTTTTACACTGAACTCAGAGTGGCTGGACCGCCACAAACCACCACCGAAGCAGCAAGAAGCCAGTTTGAGTCAGATCTTGCAGACCTGAGCTAGGCTTTCCTCACAGCGCGGTGCAGTTCTCCGCCAGGGGAGGAGACGGCCGCCATTTGCTGAACTGAGGAAGTATGAAGATTGGCCCGGGCGGAAGCAGGAGGGGCCCTCTGGTCTGTGCTGGCCTTGGCCATGCCCTTCCCCCTGCTGCAGAAGCCCAGGCAGACGATGGGGGTAGTTTCGCTGGGGGAACCCTTCTTCCCATGGCCTACGTTTCACTAGGTTATGTGGGGACGCCTGAAGCCAGTGGACCCTGACTGCGGACCCCGAATGTGCTGCCTCCCAGCGTCCCTGGCGAGTCCCGAATGGTCCACAGCAGCGGGTAACGGAAAGAGGAGGCCGCCATGACGATGGCGTCCTCTCCTCCCCCCCGGGCGCCATTTTGGAAACATTTTCTTCATCAGGCGTCCTTGGAGGTATCCGAAGCTTTCCCCCTAAATACTTTATTAGAAGTTTCTAACAGAGTAGTTGGCATTTACAGCCCACACGCAGGCCCCCAAGCTGGGGCACTCCCCGCACCCCTCCCCGCATGGCCCGCAGATGAGGCTGGGATGCAGCTCCAGGTGGCTTCCTGGGCGGAGTCCCGCGGCTGCTGCTTGCATTGCTTTACCCTCAGCACCGCGGTCGATGGGGGCCTTTACACCCCAACCCGGCTTTGGGGACTGAGGTCACGGTTCTGGATTCCTGAAACTGCTGCTGCCTGCGGGGTCCCTGGAAATGTCAGTTGCCAGTGGCCTGCACCGATGCTGAAGCAGACGCCCCCTGGCGGTCGAAAGCTGGTGGCGGACTCTGGGCTCAGGACCTTTATGTTGTGTGCCCAGGGAGCATGGGGTTGCTCTCTCCTGTGCTCCTGGGCGCTGGAAGCCTCTTTTGGCATCCCAGACGCCGAAACCGCCATAGCGCCTTTGTGTCTGCAGTGCCCACGCCTGGCACCTGTCCCCGGCCTGCGCCACCCCCGGACCACTGGTAAGTGCTGGCCGACCTGCTGGGCTCTTCCTGCACAGTTGCGGTGGGGCAGAGCAGCAGCCACTTCCCTTCAGGGATTGCAGGGCCTTCTTCTCTGCAGGCAGGTGACCCCTGCTGGCTGGGAGAGAGGTGGGGTTTTCAGGTGCTGACCCCAGGCCTGTCTCTCCTGTGGCCAGGTGTGCAGGGAGGATTAAATGAGAGGCTGGCTGTCTGAGGAGGGGGCTGGGTCTAGAATGAGGCCCTGGGAGAGGGTGGGGCAAGGGCTCAGCCTGGATTCCAGAAAAGCTCTGGCCCCTCTCAGCAGCAAGCTGGATTGGGTGGGCGTTGCCTACTTTAAGGGAGGATCTGCTGTTCCCAGAGATGTGGGGACATGCAAGCAAAATGGGCACAGACGTTTAGAGTGGCAAGGAGGCCAATGCGTGGTCCATCAGACCTTCCATATTACAGAGGGTAAAGCAAGGCTGTGGGATGGAGGTGCTCTGTCTGGGTGAGAGCAGAAAGAGGCCTGCACCTGGTGGGCGTCTGGATAAACACCCCCCCCCCCCAGCAGAGCCTGGTTGGAAGGCCTCACTCCCCTCCTCTCTGGGCAGTGAGCTCTTCTTGGGAAGGGGCTGAATTAGAGCCTCTGAGGCCCACCTGCTCTGGGGCTCCTCCCTGGGAGGGTGGGGACAAGGAGAGGGGACTGCAGTTGGCTCTTTGTTTTTCTTAAAGCAATGGTAGACTTGACATTGAGTGCTGGGCCTATTTTGAATGAATAGACACAATGAAGTGTATTTCCCTGTAGACATGGGACACTATGAAATTGGTGATGAGCACTGACAGGGTGAGCTGACTGCCCTGATCTGGGGTCAGGCCATTTCATTCCCTTGGTGGCTCCTGACTCCCGGGGGAGGTCATGGTGTTGATGGTGGGCTTGGTGGAGGCCCTGGCTGCCCCTCAAGGGTGCGTGTCTGGATCACAGCTACCTCTTCCCAGCGCCTTAGATTGAGCCCTCCACCTCCCCATTATGGTACTAAGGGAGGGCCTCCTCAGTTTGGATCCTACATACAAAAAGGAACCCTCTTTTTTTTTTTCCAAGTAGTCTGGAGCAGTTTAGGGGACAGTGTGCCACAGCACAGCAAGTGGACTTGACTTTGGAGCCCCCTTGCTGATCTTTTCTCAGCCCTGGCATTGCCCTACTTTCACTTTAGGGGTCCCCTTTCCTTTATAAGCCATGGAAGAGGGGAGCAGGAAGCATCTTTATTGTCTGTGTCAGGGCTGTGGTTGAACAGCTCGTGACAGGCAGAGGACTGGTTGCCAACAGGGCCCAGCCCTTTCAAGCTTTCATTTCTAAGTGAGGCCCTTTTGGTCTTATGGCTGAGGTCACGGTGGACTCAGTAGAGAATCCCAAAGTTTGTGTTGCTAGCAGCAGACATCTTTCTCTTTGTCATCTGGTAGGTGTGAATTGGTTCTTAGGTTCTCCAAGGCCTGTTGAAACACGAGGGTGTTTTCCTCCTATAGGTTCCCGGTTACAACTTGCGGTTTCAGTCTCATCTGAGTTGAAGTCTTGGCCCAGACGTGTGCTGGCTGAGGTGTTGTTGGCAGGACATTTTAGTATCCGTCCAGGTGAGTGGTGTTTTATTTGGGAATAAAAGTGGGGTGTGAGCATTGTGTTTTGTGGTTGGGACATCAGAGTATCAGAGTGCCTGGGTTTCATGTGTATCACCTTCCTGCTAAAGAGATCCTGGGGGTTAAGCTCAAATGCTTGGGTTACTGCCACCTGTCAGGGAGATCTGGGTGACTTCCTGGTTCTTGGCTCACCCCTGGTGCCATTGCATGTGTGTGGGGAGTGGATCAGTGGATGAATAAGCAACTGAACTCAAACACACGGAATGTTCCTTTGCCGGGAATCCATCTAATGGTTTCCCCTGACCGAGGACTGAATGCTGGTGTTGTCTGGCTTGCTCATTTCCCTAATGGTGTTTTAGACAATATGCACAAGACACAGGGAAGATGGACTAGAAACTACGAACTCAGTTGTGGGGAGCAACTCGGACTAGACTAAGTTACTGGAATTAAGACTTATTTTATGCATCTGCTCTCCCACAATATGGCGCTGGGAGAGGAGAAAACAGCTTCTACACAGCTGCCTCCAGTTCAACCAATAAACTGTGGGACCTGCTCCTGATTGGAGGAGAGCAGCGTACTCGGCGTTTGGGTAGCAGTGTTGGGATTGGCAGAGGAGGACTATAAAGGAGGAGAGAGACGGCATGCACCAGGAACATCTAAGGGGAACATCTAAGGGGAACACCTGTGCAGCCCCCGAGAACCGGCTGGTGGTGTGCCGCTCCCTGCGGAAGTGGGGAATGTGGCAGGGGGAACCGCCCTTCCACGGAGGTGGAAGGGATGGTAGCCAACCCGGGAAGGACCAGCAGCCAACCCGGGAAGGACCAACAGCCAACCCGGGAAGAACCATCAGCAAACCCTGGGAGGGACGAGCAGATGAAAGAAGCAGCGCAGGGTCTTGTGTCGTTCCTCCACGAAGACGGGGAGCGACATAATGGTGCCGTGACTTCAGATATGAAGCCTAGGCAGGGGTTAGTGTCGTTCTCCATGAAGAGGAGGAGCGACACTCAGTAGCTAGAGCCTATTTATTAGAGACAGACCTGAGGGCCCACTACTAGCGAGGGTCCGGTACACAGTTCTGGTAGAGACTGGGGCTTATCTAGCCGGGTACTTTTGGTTCGGGCTGGGCAGGATAGACAGAGCTGAGATGGTTTGCCTTGGCTTTTCAACCTTCCAGAGTGCTGGGGATAATGGTTGAACTCTGAGGCAGTGATGTGGTCTGTAACACGGCATCTCTTCTGCCCATGATGTTTGCTCAAGGTCCTGTATTGCTACTCCCAGGACAAGAGAGAGATGGGTGCTGGTGTCCTATTGGCCACTTCTGCGGATGCAGGGCTGTAGTCCAGAGTGACTGGAGAAGAAGATCAGTCTTGTGATGTTCCTAGCGGGATGTCTTGGGATCTAGCAGTCACTTGGTTCCTGTGAGCACTTTTGAAATGTGTAATTATATATCATAAGAATAAAGCACCGTGATTATGAGGGAAAAAGAAAGTAGTAGAAAAGTTACTCAGAGTGGCAAAGATGGCTAAGATGTGGCAAGGTATTGTAATGCATTCTTACATTTCATTAGCATGCTTTTCAATGTGCTCAATAGCATCTCTCACAGCACCTGACCTGACTGGTGTACAAGCCACACTCTTTTTTTTTTTTTTTTTTTTTTTTTTTTTTTTTTTATGGAGTGGACAGTGAGAGAGAGAGAAACACAGAGAGAAAGGTCCTTCCTTTTCTATTGGTTCACCCCCAATGGCCGCTGGGGCCGGCGCCACTACACTGATCCGAAGCCCGGAGCCAGAGTGGTTCCTCTTGGTCTCCATGCGGGTGCAGGGCCAAAGCACTAGAGCCATCCTCCACTGCACTTCTGGGCCACAGCAGAGAGCTGGAATGAAGGGGAGCAACCTGGGACAGAATCCGGCGCCCCAGACCAGGACCAGAACCTGGTGTGCGGGCGACGCAGGTGGAGGATTATCCTATTGAGCTATGGCGGCACTCGACCACAAGCCACACTCTTTACCCAGAGGCAAAGTCCTCCTTTTATTGGAGGTGAGGACGTCTAAATCCTCAGTGATTTTGCAGGACCACTGCTGACAAGGAATCTACCTGGTCTTGGAAGTGAGACAGGTGTGGTGCTGGGTCATTTATGTTTTCTTTGAGAGTGAGACATAATTCTTTGTATTTCTTTGTCTTGTCTCCTGAAATTGCCAGTCTGGCTGCTCCTGGCCCAATCCCTGGCAAAAAACACCCAACAAGAAGAAGGGTTGCTAAGTCCAAGTCACTCTTGACATGGGGTGTTTGAGGTCTGGGACATCAAGTCTGGTTGAGAGTATAGGAGAAAGGGTGAAATAGGAACGTAGACGGAACAGTGCCTGTCCAGTTCATGGGAAGACAGCTTGTCACACCTGGATGCCACAGAGCAAGAATGCTTCTATGTATGGTCCCCCGCATGCTCACCAATGCATCCTTGGGCTGGGTCCTGACAGTGATGGTTCAGTTAGAGTGGGAGTATTTGCCTTTGTAGCTAATTTCGCTAACCTGTGGGAGTAGGGGAAGGAAATGGAGGAAACAGGGGAGGCTGGGAGAGTAATCGTCCAGTTGTAGAGTTTGTGGGACAGTGATCCTAGCTTCATGGAAAAGGGAAGGGAACACGTAGGATGCGTTTAAGGACTTGACCTCGTCAGCGAAGCACAGAGAAATGCCTTTGATAGGTATATAAGGTCGGTTGAATTCTTCCTGTTTTGGGGAAAGTACAGGGTATCCCTTCAGTCCTGTGGCCTTTGTCCAGACTGGCTGGGAAGTGGGAAGAAGCGTGTACAGATCCACCTGAAGTGATAGTGGGGTTATGTTCAGAGAAGAGACGAGAGGAAGCATTGATGAGAGCTGTGTAGAGGCTTTGGGAGATGTGAGAGATATATAGATTTGGGGACCACAAAAAGGGCAGCAGGTTAGAAGCAGCAGACCGTAGTAAAGCATGCAACCCAGAAGAGATAAGAGAGTGCCGAGAGAAGTCTTCTGCTATGGGTCCATTCGGTTTGGCTGGTTTCTGACAAAGTCTAGGGCTAATATCACAACAAAAGATAGCAACGCGGTACAGTGCTTTAAAGTGAGAGATGTGAACAGAGGATAAAAAAGGGTATCTGAGTAGAGTGAATTCCTAGAGATTGCCCTGGAGCTGAGGGTCCAGGAGTTGGAAGAGTGGTCTGGCAGAGTTGGATAGCACTGCCTTACTTTTAGAATTACTTGGAGGAATCTGTCAAAGTGGCAGTGGCTTGTGGAGATGGTTTTTGCAGTAGTGGGGGAGCCGCGTCCACCTGAGAGTTGTGGGACCTGTGGGGTAGGGTGTGCTGTAGAGGTGTTACTAATTGTAATGGAGTGAATGTACAGTGTGGGTGTCTCCCGAGTTTAGCAGTGGTGGTGGTACGTTGTGAGTGTTTGCTGTCACGCATTTCGACAGGGCTCAAGGGTGCCTTGTCGGAGCATAGGGAAGAAGGAACACACGGAGACGACACTGTCTTCCCAATGAAAGGCTTTTTATTGCTCACTCCAATTCACACTAGGGCTTTCCCACTGCAAACCAATCTCTGTAGTTATGTTCATTACTCCACACATCATAACACACACCTGGCATCAAAGCAATCTCAAAGGCAGTCCAACTGTAATAATGTAAGTACAGCGAAGCAGAAGACATTCTTAATCATAGGGTCAAGGCACATTCCTTCCTATTACGTATGGCAATATCATTATAAATGCTGCGTTCTTAAGGTTCCTATCACATTCCCAAGAAGTGAAAGTTCAAAGTCCAGAGTCCAGAGTCTCATTACCACTCGGAGAAATGGATCTCAGAACAGTCACTTACAGGCATGAAGTAGTGGGATGGCTGTCACTCTGAGCAGAAGCCCGGAGTTCCCAGGGGAATGACAAGGTAAGGAGTTGGAGAGGTCCCCTGCTGAGAGGTCTGGTCCAGCTGTGTGGTCAGGTCAGGCAGCAGGCTGATAAGGGGTCCAGGCGAGGCGGTGGCTCCACTGGTGTTTGGTCCTGTAGTCGCCGTGTGTTGCTTAGCAAGGGGGCTAGTGAGCTGGCTCTTAAGCTCCATGTGCGAGGAGATCCAGAGGTTCACATGTACTGGGCCCTTGATCGGTTGTCATCTTGTGCCATTACAGATCCATGTGTAACGGGCTGCCTCTTCAGCTCTGAATGTGTGAAGATCCAGAGGTTCACAGACACCGGGACCATGATCCTTTTATCCTTGTCATTTTGAAGGGAGAGTCTCCAGGAGCGGTAGGGTGTCACCAATCAGTTGTGCTCCCTCTGGGAGTTTCCCGGGGTACCACCAATCTGTTGTTTAGGACAGGGTGTATCTGCAGTATTCCTGGGGTGCAGCCAATCCCTGTGCGAGTAGGAAGGTAACTTGAGTTTGTCGTCTGTAGCATACATGTTATCAGACTGCCCAGGGATGTCTGTTCAGTCTGATGAGGAGCATCTTTGTGGCAAGCGCTGAGCTTGACATAAGTGATGTCATCAGCTTCTGGCTTAGCATAAGTGACTCCATTTTTATTTCCTATTTTTGCTTGTTTGTGGGCAGCAGTGAGCTATAACTCTTTTTTGGGGCTACCAGTGGCTTTCTCCACAGTCCAGAGCCTTTTAATCATTGGGTGGGCAGTTATCTGTGACCCATTTTTGGGAGTCCTGTGGGATTCTCCTCAGTGGGAGTCCATAGCACTTCATTAGAGTCTGTTGCATTTCTGGGTGAGTGCTTACCTCAGGGCCAGGCCATGCTAAGGGCTGTGCTGGTGTTTGCTGTGGGTGTTTTGCCCGAGTGAGGCAGAGGAGGTGGCAGGGCCTCTGGGGACAGCAAGCCCGGTGTTGGGGAGAGGAAGAGGAGGGATCTCTGCTGAAGGGTGGGAGCACTTATGGAGGAAGCAGTCAGGCTGGGTAGGAACACTGGGCCAGAGAGTGGTGGTCTTGGGCGCTGGGCTGAAGGGAGTCCACCCAGCATGCTGGGAGTCTGAGCAGGGGTCAGCTGGCATTGAGTGCAATAGGACACTGGTCAGGTGTGTGTGAGTGGGGAGCAGGGCTTCACTTGGGAACCTTGGCTCAGAATCTTCCTCCTTCAGACCTCAGACTCTTTCCAGTCTCACCAGGACAGTCACTCCCCAGTCTCCACTGCGGTCTGTGTCTGCAGCCCACGGCAGGAGATTTGGGGGTCACCACCGAATAACTTGTGGGCCCTGGGTCACTAGGCTCAGTTCCTGTAGAGAGCAAGCCCCCAGCGGATCAGGAGCTGTGTCTCATGTGTGGACACTCAGGGCTGCTGCCTCCTGAGTCTCTTGCTGTTGTCCTGTGGGCCATTTGGCATCTGTAGCCTGGATGTGGAGACATGGGAATGACCTGAATGTGCAGGGTTTGTGGAGAGAATGACGGGAGGAACAGACTCAAGTTTTTGGTCTTCGTCCACCTGCTGTATTACTTAGGGAAGGACAAGTGTCGATATTAACCAAAGTACAGGGTGCACTTGGAGGAGCTAGGCCATGGAGGGAGCTGGCTGAGGAGGCAGGGCTGGGTGTGTAGGAGTGGCAGGGGGTGAGTGCCGGGTGTGCATCCTGTTGGCGATGCGTGACTTCCTCTCATAGGGTTCTCCCTGAAGGGCTGACAAGAACATGGCTGCGCTGCCCTTGCACTCTGTGATTCTTCCATATCCTTTTGTTGTGTTGAGAACCCTGCATGGGAAATCTGCTGTCTGAGGCTTATCTGCATCTCTAGAATTTCTAAATCTTTTAAAAAAGATTTATTTCTTATTTTGAAAGTCACAGTTCCAGAAAAGGGAGAGACAGAGAGAGCTATCTTCCATCTGTTGGTTCACTCCCAAGATGGTGGCAGTGGCTTCCCTGGTCCAAGCTGAAGCCAGGTACTTCTGCCCAGTACCCTGTGTGTGTTGCAGGGGCACAGGTACTTGGGCCATCTTCCTCTGCTTTTTGCAGACCACTTGCAGGGAGCTGGATTGGAATTGGAGCAGCCAGGACAGGAACCGGTGCCCACATGGGATGTGAGGGTTTTCAGGCTGTGGCTTTATCCAGTGCACCACAACACGGGCCCCGTTTCCAGAACTTCTTCATCTCCCCGCCTCCTGCTTTTACTGGATCCTGGATGGAAGTCTTTCTTTGTTGTCCAAGACGACTGCCTCAGTCACGTGAGCACTGGTGTTGGTTGAGTGTCCCCAGTGTGCTTTCTGCGGTTGTTCTGACAGCACGAGAGGACGGATTGCATTTTTGATTCTCTGGGAAGATTATCCAGGGTGATCTCGTACCTGTGAAGGAGTGCAGTGAACCAAGGGTTAAGTCAGCAGGCATGTAGTGAATCCTCTTTTGTGCTATGGTCATCTTTAGAACGTTTTGGGGGAAAAATGCCTGATCCTCGGCAGGATCCAGTATTCTTAAACTGCTTACATATATAGAAATGAAGTGAGTTTTCATCTCTGTAATGGGGGGCATCTCTGTTTATAAAGGGGGCATGTATTTTTATATAAATAGATTTGAAAGTGCCCAAGTTAAGCATTGTGTATTTGTGTGCAGTTAATTTTAGAATATATGTTGCAACTTATATGGTTAACATTCCCATAGATGGGGCCTGCACTGTGGCTCAGAGGGTTAAAGCCCTGGGCTGCAGTGCCTGCATCCCATATGGGTGCTGCACTTCGAGTCCAGCTCCCTGCTAACGTGCCTGGGACAGGCAGCCGAGGATGGCAGAAGTCGTTGGGCCCCTGCAACCGTGTGGGAAAGGAAGCAAACAGGTGTTGTATCAGGTGTGGCCTGCAGGTGCTGGGATAGTGACATCTGGGGACATTTCCGTGCTGGCATGGGTCTTCCGTGCATCCTGGAGACTCCTGTCCAGGCCTTGGGGCCTGCGGATCATTCGCCACTGTCACTTCTGCTCCAGCCTCATTTCTCTGCCTACTGAGCCTTGATGTCTCACGGTGTGGCTCCCTGACTGGAGGGCACACCTTTGGATCTTCCTGATGGCAGCCTGAGAGGGGCTGAGCTATTTTGCATCCTGGGAGGCATCTCTGTCCAGGCTCCCTGCTCCTTGGCTGCACAGCCTGCCTGCTGGGGGCCCCCTTCTGCTTCTCCCTGGACAGCTTGACCTGCTCTCCTCCTGGCTCTTACTGCCCAGCCCCCTACCCCAGGATACCTTCCCATGCCCCACGGGTGCCACCTGATCCTGGGTCTCACCCCACAGTGTGGTTCTCCTGTGGTATCCCATCGTGGGACAGACTCTGCAGCTGTGGTGGAGAGCCCTGAATCAGTGACTGTGGCAGTGTAAAGGGAGATGATGTGTGTGACACTGAGTGAGGCAGAATCCAGTGCATAGTTATAGAGAGGCAGAGGCAGAGAGAGAGAAGTCTTCCAACCACTGGTTCAGTCCTCAGATAGCTCCAACAACTGGAGCTGGGTCGATTGGAAGCCAGGAACCAGGAGCTTCCTCTGTGTCTCCCATGCAGGTGCAGGGGCACAAGGACTTGAGCCATCTTCTGCTTTCCCAGAGAGCTGGATCGGAGTGGAGCAGCTAGGGCTTGAACTGGTGCCCATAAGGGATGGTGGCACTGCAGGCAGTGGTGCAGGTTGCTGGATTTGTTTTTAAAAGCTTTGTTGCAGGAGGGGTTTGTGGCACAGGAGGTCAAATGGCTAGCTTGGATGCCTGTATCCCCCATGAGGGTGCTGGGTTTGGCTGCCAGTATTCTGCTTCCAATCCAGCTTCCCACTGACGTGTCTCTGGGGGGCATAGGCAGTGGCTCGAGCACTTGGGTCCCTGCCACCAATGAGAGCTCTGCCTCTCTTTCTGCTTTTCAAGTCAAATGAAAATTGATGAAAAAAATTTAAAAAACAGTTTCTTTGTCCACTGGGTGGAGATTGTCCATGGGTCCCTGGTTCCTAGCTGTGGAGATTGTGTCTCCTTAAGGAACACTGTGGTTGGCCCAACCGGGAGGTGCTCCTGGCTTGGGTCAGGTGGTTGCCAGAGATGCTGCCCCACACCCTGCAGTGCCCATAGTGCCCTAGAGCAAGAGCAATCTGGGTCCAGTGCCTAGGGGAGAGCCTCTAGGTCTGGGGTACAGGACAGGATCCAGGAGATTAATGAGGAGCTGGAGAGACAGGGTTTGATCTGGACTCTGCTGTGAGAAGTGACGTGGCTTTATGTGGATTCCCTGTCCCATGCCTCAATTTCCCTGCTACAAAATGGGCATAGTAGCCCCCTTCTCGTTTTTTTCAGGATTGCAGAAGGTGATTCTGTCATATCCCGATACCTGCGCCTCTGCACCTGCATCCTATAGTTGCCGCGGCCACCGTTACAGAGTGTCAGTGCATGAGGACAGGGAACTGGGGCGGGATCTCCCTTCCCAGCATCCCTGGAACTTCACCAAGGTCATCTTATCTGGGTACTTGGTTTTTAGGGCTTAGAATTGCATGATTTCAGACCTGAGTGTAACCTGAGCTTGTGGGGAATCACAGGGTTAGGACTGGTCCTGTCCATGGTGTGATCACCCTGGACTTTCATCTTTGTTGGTTGGCCCTGCAGGAAGTGAGCAGAGGGGTGGAAAGCCCTTGCTCCCCACCTCTACCTCCTCTGTCCCCCGAGTTCACTGGGCTTGTTCCTGTGGGGAAGCAAACGCCACACTGCAGGGCTATGTCTGCCTTCCTAGGGAGATACACAGGGCATCAGCCTTGTCCTCTCCCGCGCAGCAGAAGCACAGAGACTCCTGCTCCGTCAGCTGTGACTCACACTAGTCCATCCCTGCCCACTGCCCTCGTCCCTGCCTCCCGGCCTCTGACAACTGCCGTTGTGCCCTGAGCCTCCAGGGCATCACCACTTTGCAGATTCCACGCGTGAGTGAGGTCATGTGGTGTTTGTCTTTCTGTGCTTGGTTGATTTCACTTAACCCAGTGATTTCCAGATCCTCCCATGGTACCACAAATGACAAGATTTCAACCTTTTTTATAGCCGAGTAGTATTCCTATGTGTACACGTACCCCTTTTTTTCTTTTTCCATCCATGGTGGATGGATGTGTAGGTTGTTTGCATTCCTTAGCTACTGGGAACAGGACTGCAGTAAAATTAATTAATTAATTACCTTTCCATTGGTTACCTCACGGTGTGGCAGAACATTTGACATTGCTCTTCACAGTGAACTGTGCTCTGTACCGGTCCACCATCCTCCCTCCACTCCCCCCTCCCCTTTCCAACCTTTGGTAAACTCTGTTCTTTTTGCCTACTTCTGTGAGATCAACGTTTTAGGATTTCATACGTAAATGGGAACATGCAGTAGTTTTCCTCCTGCGATTGACTTGTTTAACTAATACGGTGTCCTCCCTGGGGCCGGCACTGTGATGTAGTGGGCTAACCCTCCCCATGTGGTGCTGGCATGCCAAATGGGTGCTGGTTCATGCCCCAGCTGTTCTTCTTCCAATCCAGCTCTCTGCTGCAAAAGCAGTGGAGAATGGTCCAAGTGTTTGGACTCCTGCACCCACCTGGGAGACATGAAAGAGGCTTCTGTCTCCTGGCTTTAGATCGGCTCAGCTCTGGCCTTTGTACCCATTTAGGGAGTGAACCAGTGTATGGGATACCTTTGTTTCCCTCTGTCTGTAACTCAACTTCTCAAATAAATAAAATCCTTCCCCCACCGAAAAAAACCATACACAAACAGAAAAACCCACAATACCTTCCAGGCTCATGGATGTTGCTGCAGATGACATGGCTATGTTCTTTTTTATGGCTGAGTATTATTCCATTATGCATATGTAACCAGGTGTTCTTTATCAATTCATCTACCAGTAGAGTGTCTAGGTTGACTCCATACCTTGGCTTTCATGAACAGTGCTGCAGTAAACGTGGCGTGCAACTATGTTGTCCACATTTGGTTTCCTTTCCTTTGGATGTATACGCACAGACAGATTGCTGGATCATATGGCAGTTCTATTTCTAGTGTTTTGGGGAAACACCATACTGTTTGCCACAAGGACTGCATTGATGGACATTCCTGTCCAGAGTGTGTGAGAATTCCCCTTTCTCCATGTCCTTGAATTTGTTCATTGTGTTTTTTTCTGGTCAGACCTGGGAGAGAGAATCTTTGATTGAGGTTTTGAGTTTCAAGTCCCTGATGATTAATATGATTGAGCATTATTTCATGTAGTTTTTGGCCATTTGTATATCTTCTTCTGACATGTATCTACTCAGATAATTAGCTCATTTTTAATTGCATTTTTGTGGGGGGACTTTTGGGTTGAGTTCCTTAATCTCATCAGGGGAACAACTTGCAAATACTTTCTCTTATTCTTTGAAGAATGTCATTGGTATTGTGAGAGGAATTGCATTGTGTCTATAGTAGTTGGACATTTGAAAGTTCTAGTTCTTCAAATGCATGACCATGAGATGACTTTGCAGTTTTTAGTCATCTCTTCAATTTCTATCAACTCCTTGTTCTACCACTGGGTTGCCTTCTTGATCTCTTTTCATCTGATTTGTTCCTAGGGTATTGAAATGTTGGTTTTTGTAAGCTGATCCTGTATCCTACACTTTTATTGAATTATTTTAATTCTTTTGATGAAGTTTTAAATTTTCCTATATATAAGATCATATAGATTGCAAGTAAGGACTATTAATTGATGCTGTTATTTTTTTGCTCTTGCTAAATTGTGCTGGGTAGCACTCCCAGTTGTGTGTTGAGGAGAGTGATATAAGGGATCCATTGATTGGACAGGAACATGGTGTTTGATTTCCATGCATTTGGCTGATATCTACAATTCCTCTGGTTGATTACTAATATTTTATTCCATTATGGCCTGTGAAAAGGTGATTTTGATTTTTTAAAATGAGTTGAGGCTTGTTTTGTGGGCGAATGTAGGGTCTCTTCTGGAGAATGTTCCACGTGCTGAGGGGAAGAATGCATATTCTGCAGTGCTCCACAAATGTTAAGTCCATTTGGTGTGTAGTGCTTCTTAAGTCTAGTGCTTCTTTGCTGGTTGTCTGTCTAGATGATCTGTCCATTGACAGGTGGGATGTGGAAGTCCCCAGCTCCTATTGTTGTGGGGTCTCTACCTCCCTTTAGAACCAATATTGTTTGTATTCCATGCTTAGGTGGTGTTGTTTTCAGGTGCATGTATGTATTTCCAGTTGTTAGATGCTCTTTCTGACAGATTCTTTTATCCTGATGTAATGTGTGTCTGAAATGAGTTTCTTCCAGGCAGTATCTTGAGTGTTGGTCTTTATCCACTCAGCCGGTCTTTATCCTTTAAGTGGGGAATTTAACCAATTTACATTCAAAGTTGTTATTAACAGATAACAACCTATGTCTACCTTGACACTTTTTTTAGGGACAAGTATTTTCATTTATCTTGAGTATGAGCTAGGTGCTGAGTCTGACAGTAACTCTTCATATCTCCATTTGGACAACCACTTGATTTGTACAGTGGCTGCACCATTTCACATTCTCAGCATCAATGGGTGAGGTCTGTTTGTCCATATCCTTTACAACTCTGGTTCCTCCCCATTGTTTAAATTCCTGCCACTCAAGTGGGGGAGAGTTGGTGTCACATTGTGGCTTCCATTTGCTTTTCTCTGGGGCCTGAAGATGTTGGGCAACTTTTACTGTGCTTATCTTAGAAGAAATGCATATTCAGATATTTGAGACATGGTGGTTTGGGTTGTTCATTTTCGTATTGTTCAATTGTAAGTGTTCCTTATATTTTGTGGACAGAGGATCTTATCGTATACATGCTTTTAAAATATTTTGTCTGAATCTGTGTGATCTTTTTTTCACTTTGATAATGTGTTTCTTGAATCAGAAGTGTTTGAGATTTGGAGAAATTAGTGTTTATCTTTTTATTATGTATCATAGTTGTGATAATGTATCAAAAATCTGCGGGTCACTCAAAATTGTCAAGATTTTGTAAGTTTTCTTCTAAGTGATTTATATTTTTGACTTTTAACATTTATGCTTAGATGCTTTATTTTGAGTTATGTTTTGGAGTGGATGAGGTGAACATGTAAATGAGAGGCCTGGAAGCTCATTTTCTGCTGGGCCATTAGGTATTTAGAGCATCATTTGCTGTGTTTGTAAGTCTGCCCAGGATGCTCCCTTCTCTGGGCCTTCTCATGTCTCCTGCGCAGATGCGCAAGTCTTCACACCTGATCAGGGGTGAGTAGGCAGAAGGGACCTTCTCTTTGTTTACTGATGTAGCCCAGGCCCCCATGTGCACAACAACCTCTAGATCAACAGGGAAACACAGAAGACTTTCCAGGTCCAGATGTCGGTCTTCCTGGTTCTGCTCTGTGAACTTGAGTCTGGCGCACTGGGGAGAGGGAAATCCTGGGTGACAGAGCTCTTGCTGGTGCACACATGTCTGTTGGACCCATTTCAGTCCACCTGTAGGCAGGGCAGCTGGTCCCCAGAGGTCAACAGTGTCCCTCAGTTCATTGGTATCACTGTGTTCTACCTGTGGGCTCTCAGGGACTGCGAGGTTCTTCGTCTGTAAGCCAGAACCACACGGCAGTGGAAGATTATGAAAGCCTGGGGTGCACTTCCCTATGGAAACACAGCCTGTTCCAGAGGAACATGGTCACTATCCTTGGGACATCCTCTGTGTCTCCATCTTCTCAGCCAAGACCACCCATGTCACCTGCATACCAGGCAGTCTGGGTTACATGGGGTCCTGGACAAGGCCCCTCAGTCTCCTGTGCAGTAGGCAAATCCTTCCTCTAATTTAGGTACCAGTGACTCATTGTTGAGCACAGGGACAGAGACTGTGACTCCTTCTGTGTGTGTATGACCCCTGGACCTGATCGTGTGCCCTCAGTTAAGAATCCCTTACCTACACCCTGTTAACACTTCATACTGGAGCTGAGGACTCCCAGTGTGTGCAGGGAGGTGCAGAGCATCGCATTTCCTGACGCGGTGATGGCTGCAGCAGGGCTGCCTTCCCATTGCACAGATGAGGACACTGAGGCTGCGGGGACAGCTTTGTCCATTGAGAAAAGATTGTCCATGGGGCCCTGGTTCCTAGCTGTGCAGATTGTGACTCCTTAAGGGACACTGTGGTTGGCCCAACTGGGAGGTGCTCCTGGCTTGGGTAAGGTGGTTGGTTGCCAGAGATGCTGCCCCACACTCTATAGTGCCCAGGGTGCCCCGGGCCAATATCGATCTGATCTGTGTCCGGTGTCCATGGTGCCTAGAGGTGAGCTCTTGGGGCTGGGGTACAGGAGTGGAACCAGGAGATTGATGAGGAACTGGAGAGACAGGGCATGATCTGGACTCTGCTGTGAGAAGTGACGTGGCTTTATGTGGATTCCCTGTCCCGTGCCTCAATTTCCCTGCTACAAAATGGGCATAGTAGTCCCCTCCTCGAGTTTTCAGGATTGCAGAAGGCGTTCCTTGTAAAGCCCTGAAACCTGAGCCTCTACACCTGTACCCTTATAGCTGCGGCGGCGGCCATTGCTGTGTGTCACTGTGTGAGGAGAGGGAACTGGGGCAGGATCTCCCTTTCCAGCATCCCTGGAACTTCACCCAGATCATCTTATCCAGGTTCTTGGGTTTTAGGGCTTAGGATTGCATGAGTTCAGACCTGATTGTAACCTGAGCTTGTGGGGAATCACAGGGTCAGGACTGTGTGCGTCCATGGTTTGATCGCCATGGACTTTCACCTTCGTAGGTTGACCTGCAGGAAGTGAGCAGAAGGGTGGAAAGCCCTTGCTCCCCACCTCCACCTCCTCTGTCCCCTGAGTTCACTGGGCTTGTTCCTGCGGGGAAGCTAACGCCACACTGCAGGGCTGTGTCTGCCTTCTTAGGGAGATACACAGGGCATCAGCCTTGTCCTCTCCCGTGCAGCAGAAGCACAGAGACTCCTGCTCCGTCAGCTGTGACTCACACTAGTCCGTCGCTGCCCACTGCCCTCGTCCCTGCCTCCCGGCCTCTGACAACTGCCGTTGTGCCCTGAGCCTCCAGGGCATCACCACTTTGCAGATTCCACGCGTGAGTGAGGTCATGTGGTATTTGTCTTTCTGTGCTTGGTTGATTTCACTTAACCCAGTGATTTCCAGATCCTCCCATGGTACCACAAATGACAAGATTTCAACCTGTTTATAGCCGAGTAGTATTCCTATGTGTACACGTACCCCTTTTTTTCTTTTTCCATCCATGGTGGATGGATGTGTAGGTTGTTTGCATTCCTTAGCTACTGGGAACAGGACTGCAGTAAAATTAGGGGCACAGATCTCTCTTCCACAGACTTAACTTCCTTTCCCTTCGATGTACACCAGGTAGTGGGATTGCTGGACTGGATGGTGGCTGTAGTTTCTGTTTATTGAGCAACTTCCTTGCTGCTTTGCAATTCTTCATTCGCACCCACAGAGTGCCAAGTGTTCCCTCCCCTCCACAGACATCCTCACTTGTTATCTTTCATCTCTTGGTATCCCATTGTGGTTTTGCTTTGTATCTCTCTGAGTTTAGTGTTCAGCACTTTTGTACAGTATTTCACAGTATCTGTAGTCCCCCCCTGTGCTGTGGAATAGAACCAGTGAGATGTCTTCCTTTAAGAAATGTCAATTTCTATCTATGGCCATTTTTAATCTGACTTACTTATTGTTGTTTTTTTGCTTTTGCTGTTAGTTGTGTTTTATATTGACTTTACTAACTGCTATGCCAGATGTTGACTGGCACATATTGTTCCCTTTGGTGTGCCGAAGCTGTTTAATTTTGTGAAATCCCATTTGTCCGCTAGTTGGCTTGGTATGCTGTGCTCTTGGGATCTGATCTAAGAAATCCTTGCCCGTAGCACTGTCCGGAAGCAGTTCCCCTGTGTTTTCTTCTAATTGTTTCAAAGGCTCAGGTCTTAGATTTCAGTCTTTCTTCTGTTTTGATTTCTTTTTTAATACCAATATGAATCACCCACAGCATTGATGAGTATGTTGTGTGCTCGTTATGACCAGGTTTTCTTCCATGTTCTTTTCATTTAATCAATTTGTTCTTCCCAAAAGTGATAGAGTTAGGTTCTGTGGTTAAGCACTGTCTTGCAGTTGAGGATCCAGAGGCAGCGTTCCACAAATGATGAGTCCGTTTGGTTTGTAGCACTTCGTAAGTCTAGTGCTTCTAGACTGCCTAGATAACCTGATGGTGAAGTCCCCAGCACCTATTGTTGTGGGGTCTCTACCTCCCTTTAGAACCAATATTGTTTGTATTCCATGCTTAGGTGGTGTTGTTTTCAGGTGCATGTATGTATTTCCAGTTGTTAGATGCTCTTTCTGACAGATTCTTTTATCCTGATGTAATGTGTGTCTGAAATGGGCTTCTTCCAGGCAGTATCTTGAGTGTTGGTCTTTATCCATTCAGCCAGTCGGTATCCTTTAGTGGAGAATTTAACCCATTTATATCCTAGGTTCTTATTAACAGATACCAACTTATGTCTACCTGGGTACTTTTGTCTAGGTACAAGTATTTTCAGTCATCTTGAGTATGAGCTAGGAATGGAGTAGCTGAGTCCGACAGTAACTCTTCATATCTCCATTTGGGGACAACTGCTTGAACACTACAGTGGCTGCACCATTTCACACTCTCACCATCAATGGGTGAGGTCTGTTTGTCCATATCCTTTATAACTCTGGTTCCTCCCCATTGTTTAAACTCCTGCCACTCAAGTAGGGGAGAGTTGGTTCACACTGTGGCTTCCATTTGCTTTTCCCTGGGTCCAGATGATGTTGAGCAACTTTTTCTGGGCTTATCTTAGAAGAGATGCACATTTGAATATTTGACTCCTGGTTGGTTGAGTTGTTCATTTTCCTATTATTCAGTTGTAAGTGTTCCTTATATTTTGTGGACAGAAGATCTTGTTAGATACATGATTTTAAAATATTTTTTCTGAATCTGTGTGATGTTTTTTCACATTGAAAATGTGTTTTGGCCAATGCTGCAGCTTAATAGGCTAACCTCCATCTGCTGCGTCGGCACCCCGGGTTCTAGTCCCAGTCGGGGTGCCGGATTCTGTACCGGTTGCCCCTCTTCCAGTCCAGTTCTCTGCTGTGGCCCGGGAGTGCAGTGGAGGATGACCCAAGTGCTTGGGTCCTGCACCTACATGGGAGACCAGGAGAAGCACCTGGCTCCTGGCTTCAGATCAGCACGTTACGCTGGCCGCAGCGGCCATTGGAGGGTGAACCAATGGTAAAGGAAGACCTTTCTCTCTGTCTCTCTCACTCTCACTGTCCAGTCTGCATGTCAGAAAAAAAAGAAAATGTGTTTTTTGAATCACAAATGTTTGAAATTTGGAGAAATTACCTTATATCTTTTTATTATCTATCATAGTTGTGATGCACTCATAATCTGCGAGTCACTCCAAGTTAGAAACATTTTGTAAATTGTCTTCCATGTGATTTATATTTTGACTCAACATTTATGTTTTTGATGCTTTATTTTAGGTTTCATTTTAGAATTCATGAGGTGCAAAACTAAATGAGAGGTGTGGAGGCTCATTTTCTGTCATGGTCATTGGATGTTTAGAGCATCATTTGCTGTGTTTGTCGTCTGCCCAGATGTTCCCACCACCAGGGAAATACAGAAGACTTTCCAGGTCCAGATGTCTGTCTGCCTGTCCTGCTATGTGAACTTGAGGCTAGCACACTGGGGAGGGCGCAATCCTGGGTGGCAGAGCGCTTTCTGGTGCACACATGTCTGTTGGGCCTACTTAAGTTTACCTGTAGGCAGGGCAGCTGGTCCCCAGAGGCATCTGGGTGCAGCTTCATTTTCAAGGGAGTCCCAGGGTTTCTGGCTTCTCCTTGTGTTAAACCTGGCTCTGCTGCTGAGTAGACTGCAGAGAGCAGGGCCTCTAGCCTCAGTGGGGACCTCACATGCCCATGTCACTGAGTGGTCAGGACACAGTGAGAGACGCGTGCAAAGATAGAGGCCTGCAGGGGCTCAGCCCCTCAGCTGTTCATACTCACCTCTCCCCACAACAGCCCAGGGCTTGCATCTCTGGCCTCTGCCCGCTCTGTCCACTGTCCTGGGGCAGCCTGTCTCTCTAGGACCCTACAGTTCATCAGGGCATCAGGCTGCACCACTGGACATGGTGAGATGACCCTCAGCTCAGCCTCCTGGGGGTGGGCTCCAGCTATTAGACCCCAGGACCTGGAACTAACATGACCATGAGCTCATGACCTTGAGATGGGGACATCGTCTGTCCTGAGTGGTGGACACCCCACTCTGTGCCCTCCCAGTGCTGGGGAGCACAGAATCCCTGGGGCCCTCCCTGCCAAGGCAGCCAAACTGAGCTGCCTGGCACTCTGCAGGACAGGTGCACCCAGTGCCACCCACTCCCTCCAGTTGGCCTGACCTGGATTCCAGGTTCCAGGTGTGCAGGGTGCACAGGCAGCAGGTGATCTGGGACATTATCCAGAGGGACAGTCATGGGGCCAGTGCTGTCAGTGGGTGTGATCCAGGCCATTCCCAGGAACACACACAGGTCAGCATTCCAGTGCCCCAGCTTCCTCCTCCACAGGCATCCCTCAGCCCTAGTGGATCAGCTGAGAAGCCTGTTAAGTAAATCCCTGTGGCTATGATGTCTTGGAGAAAGTCCTACCCTTCCCACTCCTTCCTGGCCTGCTGTACTGCCCTCTTGTTTGCCCACAGGGTCATCGGGGCCTGACAGTCTGGGCTTACGGTGGGGAGGGGAGTCCTCATGTGGGATCAGCACAGCCGTGACCTGGGTGGGGCCTCGCTCTCTGGGGGTTCCTCATCTGCAAATTGGGAATGACAGCAGTGCCTCCCCATGGCTGAGACGTGGTCACCCGTGTGCTTGGCCAGGGGCTGGGAAATCCCAGGAGCTCAGGAAAGAGCAGTTACTGTGCTTGGGGACATCCTCTGTGTCTCCATGTTCCCAGCCAAGACCCACCCATGTCACCTGCACACCAGGCAGTCTGGGGCACATGGGGTCCCAGACAAGGCCCCCCTGTCTCCTGAGCAGTGAGCAAATCCCTGCTCGGATCCTTCTGCCAGTGACCCATTGTTGAGTGCAGGGACAGAGACTGTGATGGCTTCTGTGTGTGTGTGTGGCCCCAGGACCCAAACTGTGCCTTCAGTGTAAGGACCCTTTCCCTTTCTTGTGTACTCCTCATACTGGAAGCAGGGGTCCCAATGTGTGCAGGGAGGTGCAGAGCATCGCATTCCCTGTGCCGGTGATGGCTGTGGCAGGGCTGCCTTCCCATCTCACAGATGAGGACACTGAGGCTGCAGGGAGAACACCCACTGCAGGTCAGATCTGTGACCTCAGAGTCCATGTCCCTGAGCATGAGGAGGCACTGCCACAGCCGTGCAAGCGTCTCCCTGTTCTTTGCTTTCCTTGGCTGTCCCAGCACTTGGTGCTCTTTATCCAAGTGGGGAACCCTGGCTCTGCCCCTGGGGAGGTGCCCATGTCCTCTCCAGAGGCTCCAGGTCCCTGGCATTGGGGCCATGGTGCAGGGAGAGTGGGGTGGGGAGGGCACAGTATGGGGAGTTCACATGGTGTGAATTGCACATTTCGCAGTGGGTAATCAATTAAATTTTATTTTGGTAAAGCGACAATAAGGTGGAGACAAGGAACACAATGGGGAGGATTAAAGAGAAATACAGGAACACCGGGGCGGGAAAGGACAGGTGTGGCACTGGGGCTGCAGCAGAAGGGACTTGCGGAGCTGGGGCTGAGGCCAGGGCCAGTGCTGTGTCTGGTGCTTCTGCAGTTTCCTTGGCTGCAGCTGGGGACACAGCTGTCCCCCACTCATCTTTGGAGGGCCATGACTGCTCCAGTGGGGTTGTTGCTTGAAGGTCATGGCTCTGCTCTGCCCCAGCTGTCAGGTCAGGTTCCAGGCCCAGCCTTGAGCTTGCTTCCCATCTGGAACAGGCGAAGTCGTCGAGCCCCAGTGCCTCCACTGTGAGATGGGCATTTGCGGACCCCCTGGGCTCTATCTGGGCCTTTACCAAGATTAAGTGACTGAGGGGGCCCTCAGGTGGCTTGTGCGCCTGGGGGAATGCCCGATACATGAGCTTTGGAGTTGTGGGTGAGTTTGACCACTCCCCCACTACACACAGGTCATCAGTTTTAGTTGGCCTACGGTTGTCTGGGCTGCTTGAGATCCCCAGCCCGCTGTGCTGTGCCAGGTGCGAGGCTGCCCTGTCCTGGACCTGGGAGACAAGAGCAGAGAATGCAGGTAAGAGGCAGTCCCTGGATCCCTCCACAGCCAGCAGCTCTGGGCCTCAGGCTGCCCCCGCCTCTTAACTCAGGCTCCCTCCTCCAAGGGTGAAGTGGACCATGTCCACCCACACCCACGGGCCTGTTGGCTCCCAGTGGGGTCTCAGTGGTGTCCTGGTCAGCAGAGAGCTGCCCTGGCTGCCAGACTCACCTTGGCCTTTTTCTGCTTGAAGCTCCAGGAGCATCGGGGGTGAGGGCTGGCCCAGCGTCCCCACCACTGGGCGAGGCGCCCACAGCAGGGTTTCTTGGGGCCTGGGCTTCGGCATCGCGGGATACAACTCAGGAACATCTTGCTACGAGACTCTATCCAGGTGAGCTGGCTTAGACTCAACTCTGGAATGTTGGGGTGGTTGCTGGGGCACCCAGTTCTCTAGGTCATCACCAACGTAGTGAGGTCACTTCCTGTGGCTCCTAAGCTGAGCCCCCTCCTCACACAAGATATCCTCAGATTCTACTTGGGCACTGCCTATGCTACTTTTACCCCTACGCCATGTACCCACTGTCCACAGTTGCACCAATACAGGCAGCACCTGCCACAGGGCTGGCTTGGGCCCAGACAGTGCCACAGCTGGGCTTGGACCTGCTCTCTCATCTTTGTACGAGTTTGAGCCTGCACAGTTCATCGTCCCTCTCTGGACATTCTCAGTCTCTCTTGTGGTTTCTGGGGATCATTCTAGCATGTGCTTGCAACAGATGCCATCAGTTGTGTAGTGCCAAGGAACCCCTAGGCCTGGCGTCACCTGTACTGATGCCCAAACACTCTAGATGTGAGATGGTTCCTAACCTGGGGTAGGGGTTTCTGGGAACTGGGAGTAAAGCAGTTGGTATTGTCAGATTGAAGAGTGCCAGGCAGCTTGTGGGTAACACTTGCTGCATCCTGGGTCAAGTTGTCCATCACCAAGATCTGAGCAATGGTGGCAGCAGCACATCCAGGAGCACTTAGTCTTGAGGACACTTAGTCTACCTTATGGCACTCAGGTGTGGCTTGGGACCTGGCCATGCTGAGCTGCTGATGCAGAGAGCTGAGAGGTGCACGTTCACCTGCACTCCTGTTTGTCCAGCATCTCACGGGAATCAGGGCTGAGTCATTTGGGCAGTTTGATAAGTGTCTTCCTTATCGTAGACATGATTGCCAGGACCGGAAGTTCAGCATCAGTTCAGAATTGTGGAGGAGAAAGGGACAGCCATTGCCAGGACATCAGAATGCTGGTGTCAGGTTCTCCCCTGGGAGACAGAGGAGTGCAAAGGGAGAGGTCTGAGAACCCCTGAGCCTGGTCTGTGGGTTGCTGGGTCTGACCTTCCCTGCTTCACAGCATGGGGCCACTTTATTCAGGGTTAGAGACCTCTGCCTTCTATAAGTAGAAATATAGAGGGAATTTCATGCTTCTCAATGGATGACTGTGATGTTGGCTTTGCCTTCCCAGCACTTGAGGTACATCTGGGATTTTATTCTTCTTGCTCCCCCATCCCTAGAGGCTTTCATGTTTCACCAGTTTTGTGTAGCTGTCCATAGGGGGAGGGGGAGACAGACACTTTTCTAAGCTGGAATCTGGACTTAAGCCATCCCCCAACTGACTCTTGTAACTTGACATCCCAAAGAGGATAGGATAGAAAGCAGGCTTCCTGGGACCCTGATGCCCAGGGAAGTTGGGTGGTTCTAACAGGTGCTGCCTATCTCAGAGTGTCCAGAAAACCTAAACACAATCAGTGCTAAGGCTATTCCTCTTTATTGGTGGACACTGCCTACTGTGTTTCGTAAGTCATAACATGGAGAATATCAACATGGAGAATATCTACATGGGTAGAAAGATGTGGAGGCAGGCTGCTGGCTTGCTGCTGGCTCTCCTGTATATTCCAGGGACCCCAGTAGGATGAGGGACACTGCCATGGGGGTGAGCGTGAAACCACAAAGCGCCCATCCATATGTCAGCGGCTAATTTAGAGCCTCGCCCATGTGCCTACAGCAAGCTGGAAGGACACTGGTGAGGAGTGGCCCAGGTGTCCCCAGATGGGAAGGGCTCAGCTCCCCTCAACAGAAGAAGTCCAATGGGTTACTGGCTCTGCAGATGGCCTCTGGATAAAATCCAAATCCGGTGTGAAGCCCTTGGCTACCCTAGAGATAGGACGAGTTGGAGAGATAGAGGATGGACACTGGAGTCACAAAATGAGCTGTTAAAGGAGTTTCCGTGAGAGCAGACAGAGAGAGGAGTGGAACCTCTGCCCTGTGGCCTGGTTTAAAAGTTCTGACTCCCACATTTCCTGAGCTCTGCATCCCACCTGGGAAGAGACTGGCTATGAAATCAGACGTTCCTGGTCTAAGTCAGGATGGAGCAGCAGTGCATGTCTAAGGCATTGAAAGCTTCTCAGGGTGGGATTTGAAGCAGGAGGTTGGACACTGTGGGGTTACACACATCCCACATGGTGATGCTAAGGTTCCAGGCCTACCTCCACTCTGAGTCTAGCTTCTTGTGTATGTAGTCCTGGGGAGGCAGCACATGCTGTCTCAACTGGTTGGGTCCCTGCCACCCATGTGTCAGACCTCAATTGAGTGCCCAGCCCCAGTAGTGGCATTTCAGGGGTGAATCAGCACATGTGTGATATCTGTGTCTATTTCCCAGAAATAATATTGTATAAAAGTCTGTAGAGGGAAATTGGAGATGTGGGCTGCATATCATTGACAAAGTGGTAATGGATAGGTTTTGGTTTCCAAGATGGCTGGAGTCCCTAGGTTTTAGGCATAAGGTACAAATGACTTGCTGCCTGGAGACCCCAATTGTCTGGAAACCATCCAGTGAGACCCTACATATAATCAGTTAGCCTTTGCCAAGAAATTCATGAGAAGTGCTTAAAGGTCTGTTCCAAGTGCCTTAGCCTGTGTTAGAGCAGCCACAAAAAGGAATTAGGATTCAGCCCCTTTGAATTATCTATGGAAGGCCCTTTCCCAATTGGGCTGGCCCCTTAACCTGCCAAAGGTGGGAAATGAGAACAAGACAACACAATGAGGACAGGTAGTGGCTGCTCTCATCTGATGTGCACCTCAGACCTAGTCTCACCAACACACTAGGCAGCCCACCCCCTTGATTGTAAACTGAGCTCTCTTCAGGAGCAGTTTAACTCCTTCTGGGCAGGACCACACTTGGCGCTGTTTACCACTGATTGTTCTCCTAAACTTCTCCATGGGACTCCTTGCAGTCACCACAGCTGAGAGCAGGGAAGTTCCTTGTCTCTCCTGCACCCCGGATGGCTCCTTGGAGAGCCCCTGTCAGACCTCAGACTGCTGCTCAACAGGGCGCCACGTTGAATGTCAGGTGAGGATGCCTCTAGACGCCTGCCCTGTTGCCCACAGCCTCTGGGGGCTACACCCGGTGTCTGAAGTCCTTTGTTGATGTTGAGTAGGAGAGTGTCTCTCCACCAGCCTGGGCCATGTCCAGGATCAACAAGAAGTAGTTACAAAAGCATGACTTCGTGCTTTACCCCCCAGAGTGGGAGTGAAATGTCTCAGGGGGCACCTTGTAGCCTAATGTGTAGGATTTGGGCGAAATGGGGAGGGGAGATGTGGAACAGGGGCAGGGATTGTAAACTGCCTAGAGCTTGTTTTCCTGATGTGCCCGGGGAGCAGAATTTTTTACACTGAACTCAGAGTGGCTGGACCGCCACAAACCACCACCGAAGCAGCAAGAAGCCAGTTTGAGTCAGATCTTGCAGACCTGAGCTAGGCTTTCCTCACAGCGCGGTGCAGTTCTCCGCCAGGGGAGGAGACGGCTGCCATTTGCTGAACTGAGGAAGTATGAAGATTGGCCCGGGCGGAAGCAGGAGGGGCCCTCTGGTCTGTGGCTGGCCTTGGCCATGCCCTTCGCCCTGCTGCAGAAGCCCAGGCAGACGATGGGGGTAGTTTCTTTGGGGGAACCCTTCTTCCCATGGCCTACTTTTCACTTCGTTATGTGGGGACGCCTGAAGCTAGTGGGCCCTGACTGCGGACACCCGGATGTGCGGCCTCCCAGCGTCCCTGGCGAGTCCCGAATGGGCCACAGCAGCGGGTAACGGAAAGAGGAGGCCGCCATGACGATGGCGTCCTTTCCTCCCTCTGGGACGCCATTTTGGAAACATTTTCTTCATCAGGCGTCCTTGGAGGTATCCGAAGCTTTCCCCCTAAATACTTTATTAGAAGTTTCTAACAGAGTAGTCGGCATTTACAGCCCACACGCAGGCCCCCATGCTGGGGCACTCCCCGCACCCCTCCCCGCATGGTGCCTGCAGATGAGGGGCTGGGATGCCAGCTCCCGGTGGCTTCCTGGGCCGAGTCCCGTGGCTGCTGCTTGCATTGCTTTACTCTTAGCACCGCGGTCGATGGGGGCCTTTACACCCCAACCCGGCTTTGGGGACTGAGGTCATGGTTCTGGATTCCTGAAACTGCTGCTGCCTGCGGGGTCCCTGGAAATGTCAGTTGCCAGTGGCCTGCACCAATGCTGAAGCAGACGCCCCCTGGCGGTCGAAAGCTGGTGGCGGACTCCGGGCTCAGGACCTTTATGTTGTGTGCCCAGGGAGCATGGGGTTGCTCTCTCCTGTGCTCCTGGGTGCTGGAAGTCTCTTTTGGCATCCCAGACGCCGAAACCGCCATAGCGCCTTTGTGTCTGCAGTGCCCACGCCTGGCACCTGTCCCCGGCCTGTGCCACCCCCGGACCACTGGTAAGTGCTGGCCGACCTGCTGGGCTCTTCCTGCACAGTTGCGGTGGGGCAGAGCATGCAGCCACTTCCCTTCAGGGATTGCAGGGCCTTCTTCTCTGCAGGAAGGTGTAGACCCCTGCTGGCTGGGAGAGAGGTGGGGTTTTCAGGTGCTGACCTGGAGGCCTGTCTCTCCTGTGGCCAGGTGTGCAGGGAGGATTAAATGAGAGGCTGGCTGTCTGAGGAGGGGGCTGGGTCTAGAATGAAGCCCTGGGAGAGGGTGGGGCAAGGGCTCAGCCTGGATTCCAGAAAAGCTCTGGCCCCTCTCAGCAGCAAGCTGGATTGGGTGGGCGTTGCCTACTTTAAGGGAGGATCTGCTGTTCCCAGAGATGTGGGGACATGCAAGCAAAATGGGCACAGACGTTTAGAGTGGCAAGGAGGCCAATGCGTGGTCTCCATCAGACCTTCCATATTACAGAGGGTAAAGCAAGGCTGTGGGATGGAGGTGCTCTGTCTGGGTGAGAGCAGAAAGAGGCCTGCACCTGGTGGGCGTCTGGATAAACACCCCCCCCCCCCCAGCAGAGCCTGGTTGGAAGGCCTCACTCCCCTCCTCTCTGGGCAGTGAGCTCTTCTTGGGAAGGGGCTGAATTAGAGCCTCTGAGGCCCACCTGCTCTGGGGCTCCTCCCTGGGAGGGTGGGGACAAGGAGAGGGGACTGCAGTTGGCTCTTTGTTTTTCTTAAAGCAATGGTAGACTTGACATTGAGTGCTGGGCCTATTTTGAATGAATAGACACAATGAAGTGTATTTCCCTGTAGACATGGGACACTATGAAATTGGTGATGAGCACTGACAGGGTGAGCTGACTGCCTGATCTGGGGTCAGGCCATTTCATTCCCTTGGTGGCTCCTGACTCCCGGGGGAGGTCATGGTGTTGATGGTGGGCTTGGTGGAGGCCCTGGCTGCCCTCAAGGGTGCGTGTCTGGATCACAGCTACCTCTTCCACAGCGCCTTAGATTGAGCCCTTCCACCTCCCCATTATGGTACTAAGGGAGGGCCTCCTCAGTTTGGATCCTACATACAAAAAGGAACCCTCTTTTTTTTTTTCCAAGTAGTCTGGAGCAGTTTAGGGGACAGTGTGCCACAGCACAGCAAGTGGACTTGACTTTGGAGCCCCCTTGCTGATCTTTTCTCAGCCCTGGCATTGCCCTACTTTCACTTTAGGGGTCCCCTTTCCTTTATAAGCCATGGAAGAGGGGGAGCAGGAAGCATCTTTATTGTCTGTGTCAGGGCTGTGGTTGAACAGCTCGTGACAGGCAGAGGACTGGTTGCCAACAGGGCCCAGCCCTTTCAAGCTTTCATTTCTAAGTGAGGCCCTTTTGGTCTTATGGCTGAGGTCACGGTGGACTCAGTAGAGAATCCCAAAGTTTGTGTTGCTAGCAGCAGACATCTTTCTCTTTGTCATCTGGTAGGTGTGAATTGGTTCTTAGGTTCTCCAAGGCAGTTGAAACATGAGGGTGTTTTCCTCCTATAGGTTCCTGGTTACAACTTGCGGTTTCAGTCTCATCTGAGTTGAAGTCTTGGCCCAGACGTGTGCTGGCTGAGGTGTTGTTGGCAGGACATTTTAGTATCCGTCCAGGTGAGTGGTGTTTTATTTGGGAATAAAAGTGGGGTGTGAGCATTGTGTTTTGTGGTTGGGACATCAGAGTATCAGAGTGCCTGGGTTTCATGTGTATCACCTTCCTGCTAAAGAGATCCTCGGGGGTTAAGGCTGAAATGCTTGGGTTACTGCCACCTGTCAGGGAGATCTGGGGTGACTTCCTGGTTCTTGGCTCGCCCCTGGTGCCATTGCATGTGTGTGGGGAGTGGATCAGTGGATGAATAAGCAACTGAACTCAAACACACGGAATGTTCCTTTGCCGGGAATCCATCTAATGGTTTCCCCTGACCGAGGACTGAATGCTGGTGTTGTCTGGTTTGCTCTTTCCCTGATGGTGTTTTAGACAATATGCACAAGACACAGGGAAGACAGACTACAAACTACGAACTCAGTAGCTAGAGACTGTTTATTCAGAGACAGACCTGAGGGCCCACTACTAGCGAGGGTCGGGACAAGTTCTGATAGAGACTGGGGCTTATCTAGCCTGAGTACTTTTGGATCAGGCTGGGCAGGGATTAGGCAGAGCTGAGATGGTTTGCCTTGGCTTTTTCAACCTTCCAGAGTGCTGGGGCTATTGGTTGAACTCTTGAGGCAGTGATGTGGCTGTAACACGGCATCACTTCTGCCCATGATGTTGCTCAAGGTCCTGTATTCCTACTCCCAGGACAGAGAGAGAGATGGGTGCTGGTGTCCTATTGGCCACTTCCTGCTGATGCAGGGCTGTAGTCCAGAGTGACTGGAGAAGAAGATCAGTCTTGTGATGTTCCTGCGGGATGTCTTGGGATCTAGCAGTCACTGGTTCCTGTGAGCACTTTTGAAATGTGCAATTATATATCATAAGAATAAAGCACCGTGATTATGAGGAAAAAAGAAAGTAGTAGAAAAGTTACCCAGAGTGGCAAAGATGGCTAAGATGTGGCAAGGGTATTGTAATGCATTCTTACATTTCATTAGCATGCTTTTCAATGTGCTCAATAGCATCTCTCACAGCACCTGACTGACTGGTGTACAAGCCACACTCTTTTTTTTTTTGACAGAATGGACACTGAGAGAGAGAGAAACACAGAGAGCAAGGTCTTCCTTTTCTATTGGTTCACCCCGCAATGGCCACTGGGGCCGGCGCACTACACTGATCCGAAGCCCGGAAGCCAGGTGGTTCCTCCTGGTCTCCCATGCGGGTGCAGGGCCAAAGCACTAGAGCCATCCTCCACTGCACTTCTGGGCCACAGCAGAGAGCTGGAATGAAGGGGAGCAACTGGGACAGAATCCGGCGCCCCAACCGGGACCAGAACCTGGTGTGCTGGCGAGCAGGTGGAGGATTATCCTATTGAGCTATGGCGGCACTCGCCACAACCACACTCTTTACCCAGAGGCAAAGTCCTCCTTTTTTGGAGGTGAAGGACGTCTAAATCCTCAGTGATTTTGCAGGACCACTGCTGACAGGACTCTACCTGGTCTTGGAAGTGAGACAGGTGTGGTGCTGGGTCATTTATGTTTTCTTTGAGAGTGAGACATAATTCTTTGTATTTGTTTGTCTTGTGTCCTGAAATTGCCAGTCTGGCTGCTCCTGGCCCAATCCCTGGCAAAAAACACCCAACGAGAAAGAAGGGTTGCTAAGTCCAAGTCACTCTTGACATGGGGTGTTTGAGGTATGGGACATCAAGTCTGGTTGAGAGTATAGGAGAAAGGGTGAAATAGGAACGTGAGTGGACACGTGCCTGTCCAGTTCATGGGAAGACAGTTGTACAGCTGGATGCCACAGAGCAAGAATGCTTCTATTTATGGTCCCCCGCATGTTCACCAATGCATCCTTGGGCTGGGTCCTGACAGTGATAGTTCAGTTAGAGTGGGAGTATTTGCCTTTGTGGCTAATTTCGCTAACCTGTGGGAGTAGGGGAAGGAAATGGAGGAAACAGGGGAGGCTGGGAGAGTAATCGTCCAGTTATAGAGTTTGTGGGACAGTGATCCTGCTTCATGGAAAAAGGGAAGGGAACACGTAGGATGCGTTTAAGGGCTTGACCTGTCAGCGAAGCACAGAGAAAATGCCTTTGATAGGTATATAAGGTTGGTTGAATTCTTCCTATTTTGGGGAAAGTACAGGGTATCCCTTCAGTCCTGTGGCCTTTGTCCAGACTGGCTGGGAAGTGGGAAGAGTATGTACAGATCCCGCATGAAGTGATGGTGGGGTTATGTTCAAAGAAGAGACGAGAGGAAGCATTGATGAGAGCTGTGTAGAGGCTTTGGGAGGATGTGAGAGATATATAGAATTGGGGACCACAAAAAGGGCAGCAGGTTAGAAGCAGCAGACCGTAGTAAAGCATGCAACCCAGAAGAGAGAGAGTGCTGAGAGAAGTCTTCTGCTATGGGTCCATTCGGTTTGGCTGGTTTCTGACAAAGTCAAGGGCTAATATCACAACAAAAGATAGCAACGGGGTACAGTGCTTTAAAGCGAGAGATGTGAACAGAGGATAAAAAAGGGTATCTGAGTAGGGTGAATTCCTAGAGATTGCCCTGGAGCTGAGGGTCCAGGAGTTGGAAGAGTGGTCTGGTAGAGTTGGATAGCACTGCCTTACTCTTAGAATTACTTGGAGGAATCTGTAGAAGTGGCAGTGGCTTGTGGAGATGGTTTTTGCAGTAGTGGGGGAGCCGCGTCCACCTGAGAGTTGTGGGGCCTGTGGGGTAGGGTGTGCTGTAGAGGTGTTACTAATTGTAATGGAGTGAATGTACAGTGTGGGTGTCTCCCGAGTTTAGCAGTGGTGGTGGTATGTAGTGAGTGTTTGCTGTCACGCATTTCGACAGGGCTCAAGGGTGAATTGTCGGAGCATAGGGAAGAAGGAACACACGGACACGACACTGTCTTCCCATAGAAAGGCTTTTTATTGCTCACTCCAATTCACACTAGGGCTTTCCCACTGCAAACCAATCTCTGTAGTTATGTTCATTACTCCACACATCATAACACACACCTGGCATCAAAGCAATCTCAAAGGCAGTCCAACTGTAATAATATAAGTACAGCGAAGCAGAAGACATTCTTAATCATAGGGTCGAGGCACATTCCTTCCTATTACATATGGCTAATATCATTATAAATGCTGTGTTCTTAAGGTTCCTATCACATTCCCAAAAAGTGAAAGTTCAAAGTCCAGAGTCCAGAGTCTCATTACCACTCGGAGGATGGATCTCAGAACAGTCACTTACAGGCATGCAGTAGTGGGATGGCTGTCACTCTGAGCAGAAGCCAGGAGTTCCCAGGGGAACGACAAGATAAGGAGTTGGAGAGGTCCCCTGCTGAGAGGTCTGGTCCAGCTGTGTGGTCAGGCCAGGCAGCAGGCTGATAAGGGGTCCAGGCGAGGCGGTGGCTCCACTGGGGTTTGGTCCTGTAGTCACCGTGTGTTGCTTAGCAAGGGGGCTAGTGAGCTGGCTCTTAAGCTCCATGTGTAAGGAGATCCAGAGGTTCACATGCACTGGGCCCTTGATCGGTTGTCATCTTGTGCCATTACAGATCCATGTGTAACGGGCTGCCTCTTCAGCTCTGAATGTGTGAAGATCCAGAGGTTCACAGACACCGGGACCATGATCCTTTTATCCTTGTCATTTTGAAGGGAGAGTCTCCAGGAGCGGTAGGGTGTCACCAATCAGTTGTGCTCCCTCTGGGAGTTTCCCGGGGTGCCACCAATCTGTTGTTTAGGACAGGGTGTATCTGCAGTATTCCTGGGGTGCAGCCAATCCCTGTGCGAGTAGGAAGGTAACTTGAGGTTGTCGTCTGTAGCATACAGGTTATCAGACTGCCCAGGGATGTCTGTTCAGTCTGATGAGGAGCATCTTTCTGGCAAGCGCTGAGCTTGACATAAGTGATGTCATCAGCTTCTGGCTTAGCATAAGTGACTCCATTTTTATTTCCTGTTTTTGCTTGTTTGTGGGCAGCAGTGAGCTATAACTCTTTTTTGGGCTACCAGTGGCTTTCTCCACAGTCCAGAGCCTTTTATTCATTGTGTGGGCCGTGATCTGTGACTCATTTTTGGGAGTCCTGTGGGATTCTCCTCAGTGGTATCCATAGCACTTCATTAGAGTCTGTTGCATTTCTGGGTGAGTGCTTACCTCAGGGCCAGGCCATGCTAAGGGCTGTGCTGGTGTTTGCTGTGGGTGTTTTGCCCGAGTGAGGCAGAGGAGGTGGCAGGGCCTCTGGGGACAGCAAGCCCGGTGTTGGGGAGAGGAAGAGGAGCGATCTCTGCTGAAGGGTGGGAGCACTCATGGGGGAAGCAGTCAGGCTGGGTAGGAACACTGGGCTGGAGAGTGGTGGTCTTGGGAGCTGAGCTGAAGGGGGTCCACCCAGCATGCTGGGAGTCTGAGCAGGGGTCAGCTGGCATTGAGTGCAGTAGGATGCTGGTCAGGTGTGTGTGAGTGGGGAGCAGGGCTTCACTTGGGAGCCTTGGCTCAGAATCTTCCTCCTTCAGACCTCAGACTCTTTCCAGTCTCACCAGGACAGTCACTCCCCAGTCTCCACTGCGGTCTGTGTCTGCAGCCCACGGCAGGAGATTTGGGGGTCACCACCGAATAACTTGTGGGCCCTGGGTCACCAGGCTCAGTTCCTGTAGGGAGCAAGCCCCCAGCGGATCAGGAGCTGTGTCTCATGTGTGGACACTCAGGGCTGCTGCCTCCTGAGTCTCTTGCTGTTGTCCTGTGGGCCATTTGGCATCTGTAGTCTGGACGTGGAGGCATGAGAATGACCTGAATGTGCAGGGTTTGTGGAGAGAATGACGGGAGGAACAGACTCAAGTTTTTGGTCTTCGTCCACCTGCTGTATTACTTAGGGAAGGACAAGTGTCGATATTAACCAAAGTACAGGGTGCACTTGGAGGAGCTAGGCCATGGAGGGAGCTGGCTGAGGAGGCAGGGCTGGGTGTGTAGGAGGGGTAGGGGGTGAGTGCTGGGTGTGCATCCTGTTGGCGATGCGTGACTTCCTCCAGTAGGGTTCTCCCTGAAGGGCTGACAAGAACATGGCTGCGCTGCCCTTGCGCTCTGTGATTCTTCCATATCCTTTTGTTGTGTTGAGAACCCTGCATGGGAAATCTGCCATCTGAGGCTCATCTGCATCTCTAGAATTTCTAAATCTTAAAAAAAAAAGATTTATTCTTATTTTGAAAGTCACAGTTCCAGAAAAGGAGAGACAGAGAGAGCTATCTTCCATCTGTTGGTTCACTCCCAAGATGGTGGCAGTGGCTTCCCTGGTCCAAGCTGAAGCCAGGTACTTCTGCCAGTACCCTGTGTGTGTTGCAGGGGCACAGGTACTTGGGCCATCTTCCTCTGCTTTTTGCAGACCACTTGCAGGGAGCTGGATTGGAATTGGAGCAGCCAGGACAGGAACCAGTGCCCACATGGGATGTGAGGGTTTGCAGGCTGTGGCTTTATCCAGTGCACCACAACACGGGCCCCGTTTCCAGAACTTCTTCATCTCCCAGCCTCCTGCTTTTTCTGGATCCTGGATGGAAGTCTTTCTTTGTTGTCCAAGACGACTGCCTCAGTCACGTGAGCACTGGTGTTGGTTGAGTGTCCCCAGTGTGCTTTCCGCGGTTGTTCTGACAGCACGAGAGGACGGATTGCATTTTTGATTCCCTGGGAAGATTATCCAGGGTGATCTCATACCTGTGAAGGAGGGTAGTGAACCAAGGGTTAAGTCAGCAGGCTGTAGTGAATCCTCTTTTGTGCCTGTGGACATCTTTAGAACGTTTTTGGGGAAAAAAATTGACCTGATCCTTGGCAGTATTCTTAAACTGCTTACATATATAGAAATGAAGTGAGTTTTCATCTCTGTAATGGGAACCTGTTTATAAAGGGGACATGTATTTTTATAGAAACAGATTTGAAAGTGCCCAAGTTAAGCATTGTGTATTTGTATGCAGTTAATATTTAGAATATATCTGTTGCAATTTATATGGTTACATTCTCATAGATGGGGCGTGCACTGTGGCTCAGAGGGTTAAATCCCTGGCCTGCAGTGCCTGCATCCCATATGGGTGCTGCACTTCGAGTCCAGCTCCCTGCTAACTGTGCCTGGGACAGGCAGCCGAGGATGGCAGAAGTCGTTGGGCCCCTGCACCCATGTGGGAACCTGGAAGCAGCTCCTGGATCCTGGCT